GATGTGCCCTATAAAGGGGCTCTCACCCCCAACCACAATGGTGTTCAATCTTTTTGTGTGTCTAAATATAAACTAATTCTTTAAAAATCTATGGCAGCCAAGCACTAAAATTCCAGAATGTTCCAGCACATACACAAAGTGGGAAAGGCTACACGTACTTGGTCTGGAATTTTGGATTGCTTTTTCTCGATGTGTAGGCAGGAATATGCCTATGGTATGTCTGTTAAAGCACAACTGTGAAAATTATGACAGCAGACCAAGATAAACCACTTGACTGGTCGTCGGCAGCAGGGGAAGAGTTTCATACTGCTAGGTGCTGTTGTAGCACGCTCTAGGCGGTTCACTCAGAAGTCCTAGGAGCTATTGGTTGCAGCCGAGAGTTGAAGCCAGGGCTGTGGAGAAGCCCTGGGAACTGCCTGGAGCAGTGTGGATTTGGACAAAGCCCTGAGATTCCATCGATAATTCAGCACAGGTGTCAGTAGAGATGAAGGGGGATTCTTCAGTATTTGCTTATCCAGCTGAAAAACATTGGAACTTGGAGAAACCCCAGGATTAGTAACAGCTGAATGAAGTTAGTTGTCTGTGAAATAACTGAAACTGTGCCTGAGTAGAATGCTGTAGTGCACTGTCAGGAATCTAGTGGGATGCAGCCTTAAGGGAATAAATTGAACTGTCAGGATGAGAGTGGTTGTTGAAGAAGACGCCGACAAAGTGGTTAATGGCAGGATTTTGAAGCTAGATCTTTGAAAGTAAAGAATTGGAATCACTTGTAAGGGAAACAAAGTTTTTTCCGATTTGGCGTCCTGCAATGGAATTATATTGAGGGTTGTTGAAAAGTTTGCGTGATCTGTCTTGACCATGTCTATTATTAATATGTTTATTGGGTATTTGACCACAGTTTATCTGTGTTAAATCATATTTACTTCATGCTAATTCTGGTGTTAAGTAGGGATTGTATATGTAGACATTATTGTTTACTTTTCTAACCCATTTTATAAAACATAATGTATTTGTTCAGAAAATCTAGAATTTAGTGGCTTTATTCTGAGTAAGTATTTGCAATTTCAAGCATTATTTGCATTAAACAAAAGAACAGTTGTTGATCCCTAATGTGATTTTGGCAGTTTCACAGGGAATCTTATCTTCTTATAAAAAAAAGTTTTAAAAAGTTACTGTCCAACAGAGCATCCTCTTGTGGCAGTGGTCTCCCAGTTACTGATCATAAACTGCAACCCTGTGTTTCTCTGAAGCTGGAAGATCTGTCATTGCCCACCACCCCCCCATCCTCTAACCTTCAATACGCTGCCTGCCTCCCTTAATTGTCATCTCAAGAGATTCCTTATTCAATTAAGAGTATAACCATGTGAAAAATGTTACTTCGATCAATTTCCCAACTGAAGCAGGTTCAGGACATGCAAGTCATCCCGACTCTGGGCAAAATTCAGTCACAGATAACATAACGTATCCATGAATTCAACTTGACATCAGTCCAGTCTATGTAAGTCAACCAGTTTTTATCATTCAACCCAGCAAGCCTCTCCTTTTGATTACTAGAATTATTGAGAAGTTACAGCACAGAAGAAGGCTATTTATCCTAACATGTCTTTCTGTTGTCTTGAGCATTTCAACTAGTCTCACGCAGAGTTATTCCTCGAATAGTGTAACAGTTCATTTTGATCCAAGATGTGTTCTTGCTCTGCAGTATAATCTGCTTCTAAGGCCACCCTCTGATCATATTCATAAAATAAATGAGTTAAAGGGCATTCCCTCCCCTGAGCAGATTCATAATTTCAGATTAGTATGTTGTTTTAACATGATACTCAGTAAAGTGGTATTTAATATTTGGGTATACTGACAGTTGGTAGACTTGGCATTTGACATAACCAGTCACTGTGAAGCAGCAATCTGCAAAGCAAATGAAATGCTCAAGTATTTAAAATAGTACTTAAAATAGTATCTTGCATCATTTCAGTGATGAACTGATCATTCTTCTCCTTTCTCATTCAGAACCTGTTTCTGATTTCTCCCCCATTCCAAATATGCAGTGCACCCACAATCACACATGATTTTTATTAGTCTGTCTGTATGTTACTGTCTACCTCTTCCAGTTTATGCCTTATCCCTACAGTCCCAATTTGTCTGCTCCCAAGTCCTACACCTAATGCAATCCTCCTGTTTGTTCTCTGCCCTCACATGACCTAACCTTTCCTTTGCTCCAAAGTATTCTTGCAAGAACACTGACAAGCCTGTACACAGGTAGCAAAAAAATATTACTAGACTACTGAGATATAGGAACTTTGAAGGCTGGTATGTTTACTGCATAGAGAGAACTCCAAAAAACACTAATTTCTTCAATATATCACACTCCAACTCAGATTTTGTACAACAAGCACAAGCCTACTTGAGTAAGACAGAACTTCTGTATGATGCGATAGAATCTGTAGAAAGACACTGGAATTATGTGTTTATATTAAAATATCAATATTTGCTCCTGTGTAAGATTTTTTTTGCTTTGGAACCAACTGTGATCTTATCGGCTAAATTATTTTTCTACGTTAAGGGTGTCAATTATAGTCTTATTTTGGAGGAAATAATTGGTTACATCCTATATTTAACATTGCCACTAATTATTAAGCCAATTGCACAAACCTAGCATAAGAACATCATGGGATCACTTACACCCCTCATTATCATTCTGAGACATGATTCTAAGATTCTTGAGTAGATTTGTAACTCGGGTTATGGATGCTGTGGTTGGTTCGCTCACCGAGCTTGTTCATTAGTTGGCAGACATTTCATTACCCTGCTGGGTAACATCATCAGTGCAGCCTCCGATGAAGCAGTTGTTGTGTTTTCCCGCTTGTTATTTAAACTCTGGGTTCTGTTGGAGGTGATTACCTCATTTCCGGTTTTTCGTTGCAGTGGTGTGTATATAGGGTCTAATTCTATGTGTTTATTGATGGCCTTCTTGTTGGAGAACCAGACCTCCAGGAACTCCCTTGCCTGTTTCTGTTTGGCTTCTCCTAGGATCCTGATATTGTCCCAGTCAAACTGCTGGTTCTCCTTGTGAATGAAGACGAGTGAGTATTGGCTGTGTCTTTTCGTTGCTAGTTGGTGTTCATGTATTCTTGTAGCCAGTTTCCTTCCTGTCTGTCTAGTGTAATGTTTCTTGCAGTCCTTGCATGAAATCTTGTATATTACGTTGGCTCTGTCCATAGTGGCTAAGGGGTCTTTGGTTCTTGTTAGCAGTTGGCGTAGGGTTGATGTAGGTTTGTGTGCTACTCTGATGCCCAGTGGCCATTGGAGTCTTGTGCTCAGTTCAGATACGTTCTTGGCGTATGGTAACGTTACAAGTGTTTCGGGGCGTACTGTATCTTCCTGTTGTTGTTTGTGTGATAGGCATCGTCAGACCCAGTTGTTCAGGTCCGTTGTCTCTAAATATTTGGTGGAGGTATTTTTCTTCATTTGGTTGCAGTTCTGAGTTGCTGCAGAGTGTTGTGGCTCATTTGAACAGTGTTTTTACGCAACTCCATTTGTGGATGTTGGGGTGGTTACTGTTGAAATTAGCAACAAAAAGACACAATCAAAACTCACTCGTCTCCATACACACAGACAAGGAGAACCACCAATTTGATTAGGACAAGCCAAACAGACAAGCACGGGAATTTCTCGAGGCCTGGTTCTCCACCAAGGCCATCAATAAACACGTAGAATTAGACCCTATGTACACACCACTGCAAAGAAAAACCAGAAATCAGAGGTAATCAACTCCAACGGACCCCAGAGTTCAAATAACAAGCAGGAAAACATAACGGAGGGTGCACTGATGATGTTATCCAGCAGGGTAACAAATGTGAGTTAACGAATCAGCTCAGTGAGCAAACCAACCACAGAGCCATGACTTTATTGGCTTCAATTCCAACCAAAACAGTAAAAGCTTTCCTGTTAATGTTTTACTATATTACAGGAAGGATACAATTGCTTTGGAGAAAGTACAGAGGAGATTTGCTAGAATGTGGCTACAGCTTGAAATGTGCAGCAATGAGGCAAGATTGGATAGGCTAGGTTTGTTTTCCTTCGAACAGATGAGGCTGAAGGGGACTTTGAGGTGTACAAAAGAGGATGCCTGGATAGAGTAGAGAAGGAAAACCTGTTTCCTCAAGCAGTGAAGTCAGTTAACAAAGGCACACAGATTGAAGGTGATAGGCAGAGCAGTTAGAGAGGACTTGAGGAAAAGCTTTATGACTGAAACTGAAGCTGGTTGGTGCCTTGATGTTAGTGTCTGGCTTGACGCTTGCTGCAGAAAGCCTCAAGTTATTTTGTTTATCCCTACAATCTACAAGGCTATGGATGAGGTGCTTGAGGACTGGGTTTAAAATAAACAGCTTTCTTCACTATTTGATAAATGTAGCCCTAATGGGCTGAATGCCCTCTTTATTCATTATGATCTTTTCTATTTGGTGGAAACATTTTGCATAATGTCGCCACACCTGCCCTCTTCCTTCTTCCCACCCTGCTTGAATATTTTTCCATCATCATTCTCAATTCAAAATGTTAAATTTCTGGAATTTGGCCACACTGGATACCAGTGGTCCTTCATTTTTTTTTTGTCCAACTTTCCCTATGACACTAGACAGAAACAATATTCAATCAGAACAAGGGTGAGCAGCCCAAAACTGATCCCCTTTTCACATGATATCTATGCACATGATACTTTCAGCAGGAGTCGCGAGGAACTGAGCAAGACCTGAAGCTACCATATCTATTCTAGTTTTGTAAAACTCGCATCATAAATTGGCATCATCCCAGGATTACACAGAGGTTTTCTAGTTCACTCCTGTGTGAGGGAATGTATTTACCTAATGAACTTCAGGATAGCCAACATTCTCTAATAGTGGTCCTGAATGTTCTTTTAAGATTACAGGCATAGCTGAATGGGAAAGATCTAATGATGTGTGGTCCGCATGAGTTGATTTGCTTTTTGTTTCCTCTTCTTGTAGGTTGCCAGCCAGCTTCCCTGGGTACCGCTGATGATGCAAGTTTGTTTTGCCTGAAGATGGAAACACTTGTATCTGAATTAACCTGCCCAATTTGTCTGGAGCTATTTGACGATCCTCTGCTGTTACCGTGTGCCCACAGCTTGTGTTTTAACTGCGCTCACCGGATCCTCGTTTCTCACTGCACCTCCAACGAGACAATCCAATCGATTGCTGCCTTCCAGTGTCCGACCTGTCGGTATGTTATATCTTTGAACCACCGCGGCTTGGAGGGTTTGAAGCGGAATGTAACTTTGCAGAACATCATTGATCGCTTTCAGAAAGCCTCGCTGAGTGGACCCAACTCCCCCAGTGAATGTCGCCGTGACCGGCCATACAAGGATCCTGTCACCATGTCCTCCGAGAGGGTTCAGTGCCAGTTCTGTGAGCAAGAGCCACCGCGAGATGCCGTTAAGACCTGTGTGACCTGTGAGGTCTCCTACTGTGATCGGTGCCTCCGGGCCACTCACCCCAACAAGAAGCCGTTCACTGGCCACCGGCTGATTGAGCCTATTCCAGACTCTCATCTCCACGGCCTGATGTGTCTGGAACATGAAGATGAAAAGGTGAATATGTACTGTGTCACGGACGATCAGCTGATCTGTGCCTTATGCAAACTTGTAGGACGTCACCGGGAGCACCAGGTTTCCTCACTGAGTGATAGATATGACAAACTTAAGGTACAGTATATGAAGATTCATTATCTGAAAACAGTTTTATAAATCCATTTGGATTCAATATTACAGCCTGAGATTGGATAATCAATGACTAAGTATTTTAACTTTAATAATCTCACCCTTTGATTTGCAGTATTTCAGCCTTCTCAAAGCAGTTTTAAATGTCCATCTAAACAGGTAGATTTCATCTTTTGGTTTATTATATTACTGCAAAGGATGAAACCTCAGACAATGTAGCATTGCTGTGTCAGTCTAGATTATACTGTACATCCATAACTTAGGAGCAGAGTATTAACAGTCTTCAGCCTCAGGAACATGACTGTTGCAAACTCCTATACATGACCTATATTAACTCTGCCCTTCAAGTAGGTATAGAGTTAATAGTTGGAGAATAAACTTGAACAAGCTGTACCAAATGATCTGGAACTGGAAGAGTCACAGATTTATGATTAGCAAACAAGTGGGGAAGGGGTGTGTAGACAAATGAGAATATTGTATATTTTCGTCAAATAACTTATGATCTGAAATAGATACTTATCCAAAAAATAACATTACCACTCGGCTGTAAAAGACAAGTGGGAATAATTTGTTTGATACAGTAAGTTATCTCCTTTTGTGCTGAAGAAGTACCCAGAAAAAACATAGGAAATATGGTCTATATATACATTCTGACCTTTCCTTTCTAAGTGACAATAATTAAGTACTTGGAGAAGTAAACAGGGCAGGGGGTGCTTTTATTTTTAAATTTAAGTGGTTTGGACACAGCCCCATTCAAAACCTATGTATAAAATGAGTATTACAGCCTGAAAAAGCTTTCCAAGGTATTTCACCAGTTTAAAGAGTAGACAAAAGTACAATATTGTGTACAGTAAATAATTTACAGATTTGTTTAAGAACCTTAGTTTTTTTTTCACAAAAGACATCTTAATGTCTCAAGTACATCTGATCTTGCTTTCCCTTCTTCCAACCCCATTTCATTAACAGTATTAAGAATGACAAGCTCTAATAAGAAGCACATTTTTATTGTAAGTCACTAATGGAGAAGTCATATTCTTTGGGGTCTTGTTGGAAAGGTTAATCTGTGTAATATGTTACTTTTTTTTCTACCAGATGTTATTTGAGTAACTATTTTCTTCAATTTGGAACAGCACTACTCATCTTTATCTTGAATTTTTATTGAGTTCAAAAAGTTTGGCTGTTCACTTTGCGCAAGGTATTACTTTCACATTTCTGTAAATCGCCTATGGCAAAAATCCTGTAAATTCTTAAGTACATCGGTAATGCTACATTTTGTCAATTCAAGTTAGAAATCCCTTCTGTTTGAAGCAGGTATTAATTTTATTTTGTCTTAGTTTCTATTTTATTTTCCTCTCCATACTGACAAATTCAAATTTTGTTCACTTTTTAATGTGCATTTTAATGGGAGTAGCCATTAAATGCTATTTAGTGTGTATAATCATCTTAATAGAATCATAATCATAGAATCCTACAGTGTAGAAGCAGACCATTCAGCCCATCAAGTCCACACTGACCCTCTGAAGAGCATCTCACCCAGACCAACACCCCTACCCTATCCTTGTAACGCTGCATTTTCCATGGCTAATCCACCTAGCCTGCACATTCCTGGACACTACAGGACAATGTATCATGTCCAATCCACCTAACATGTGCATCTTTGGACTGTGGGAGGAAACCAGAGCACACAGAGGAAATTCATGCTGATATCGGAAAATGTGCAAATTCTACGCAGACAGTTACCCAAGGCTAGAATTGAACCTGCGTACCTGGCACTGTAAGGCAGCAGTGCTAACCACTGAGTCACTGTGCTGCCCGTCTTGTACCCTTTGCATGAAGAGTAAAACAGGAGAGAGTCACAGATCCAACGGTTTGTTCATGAAAGCAAGAGTTTAACAGAATTTCCTCAAAAATCAGGGATAATTTATGGCATACAAATGAAACATGAGGCAGAAATTACCCCTCCCTGAAGTGACAAGTGTCACAGCAAATAGAATAAAAATGAAAAGTCCGAATCTCAACGTTGAAGACAGAATTTTAATCCTTTCCTCAAGCTTTAAGTGGTGAGTTTGGAATCTCCACTATTCTCTTTCCATGTATTTGCATCGTATTAAAGCCCCAACTTGTCCTATTTAGATCCCGCTTCCAATTATCCCCCCCTACATTGCAAAGCCAGACAGCGCAAATTGCTGATAAGTAAAACTGGGCAGGTACCTGGTGATTGCAGCTCGCTGAATTCCTGTCCCAGTCATCAAGCCACAGTTTCTACACAATCCTGCCTGCTCCATGGACACCAGTCCCTTTGGTTCTTCATCTGCACAAAACTACAACAGCAAACCAGCTTCAGCACATGATCATGCTTGCCCTCTGATTAACTCAACCGTACTTCAGGCCTTCAATACTTTACATTGGAGCGGAGAGACACCTATGACTTCTGCCAGGATGTTTTGCACGCAGGGGCAACTGTATAAGTTATATATCAACACAGGTTGCTTGTTTCTACACTGACAAGGACATACATTTTCTGACTCTTCCCTCATTTTCTTAGTGCGCACTGACTCTAGCGCTGAATTATAGGCCTCTGTATAGGTCACCTTTGAATTTAGGATCCAAATATTTTTCAGGTATCCCTAAATGCCACCTAAAACATATGTAAATAAGGAGATTAAAACCTGTTTTGGACGCCATGGATTATAATGATAAACTCAGGTCTGGCAGCTTCTGTGGAGAAGCTGCTGAGTTTCTCTCAAACTTCACTATCATTTCTGATTTTCAGCATCTGCAATATTTTGCTTTTTTGTTGAATTGCTGTGGATTCTTCTGCATTAATAACAGGGACTGATAAAACTACACTCCATTATTTATAACTTTGAAAGCACTTTTGAGAAAGCTAGGGGATGAGGAGAATATCTGTGACTCCCTAGTTTCCCTTTGATCGACCCCATTGTTGCTGCACCGACCCTCACATTGGCCCTGATGCAGATAAGAGGGCGGCACGGTGGCTCAGTGGTTAGCACTGCAGCCTCACAGCACCGGGGACCTGTGTTCGATTCCAGCCTCGGGTGACTGTCTGTGCGGAGTTTGCACATTCTCCCTGTGTCTGCGTGGGTTTCCTCCGGGTGCTCCGGTTTCCTCCCACAGTCCAAAGATGTGCAGGCTAGGTGGATTGGCCATGCTAAATTGCCCGTAGTGTTCAGGGGTGTGTGGGTTATAGGGGGATGGGTCTGGGTGGGATGCTCCAAGGGTCGCTGTGGACTTGTTGGGCCGAAGGGCCTGTTTCCACACCGTAGGGATTCTATTCTATTCTATTCTAAGACGCACTCTTTCTGGATTCCAAATCTTCTCCCAAATAATGTTTGAAGCTCCAGGCCCAAATTAGGCTGGACTCAAACTTTCTCATTCAGGCCCTCATCATTGTAGCTGAATATGGATTGTAATCGCTGACCCCTCCTTGAGTGAAACAGCAGTAGCACCAACTTGCACATTCATATATCTAAAGGATTTTTTTAAAGCACATTACAGAAAACCATGCTGATCAGGCATGATCAAAATAATTTGGGGAAAGGCCAAATATGAACAAAGGGAAAGGTTTTCAGTTGATTTGTGAAGGTGAGGGGTAAGATGGAGATTTTGAGACAATTCCAGATCATAGAGATACTATAATTTATAGAGTACCAATGGTGAGAAGGGAGAATTAGAAGCAGGTGGAAATATAATGCAAGAGGATGACAGCCGGAATGTAAACATGTTCATGATATCCTCATGTGACCTGAAGATAAAAGGCCCAGATAATCTTTGTTTTGGGGCCCCATGAAGGATGACGGAGCATGTTGGGAGCAAGTTACTTTATATAGTGGAAGCACTCTGTGTTAGCCCAGACACTGTGTGTGTGTGTGTGTGTAAATATATTTGTAATTATAAACATAAAATATATTATTATGTAAATATATATTAGTGAACTGTAATAATGACTGTTTAATCTTTCAATACCATATTATCCATGCCTTAGTTTATGTTGCACAGATAACATAAGCATTGTCAGAACAAGTAAAGATACCTGGCTGGAGACAAACATAAACCAACCTTAATGTCTTTGAGTCAAATAATTTGTAGGTATGTGCAGATATGGTTAAGATGCAAAAAATATTAGCCACTAGGGTTAAACTCCTCAAGGCAAATACTGCCTGTGGAACGGTCCCAATGGGGAAAATTATGGCCCTGGTGTCTGAAGTTGTCAAAACAGGGATGAAGTGGGTTCAGTTACTGGATACCCTAAAGTTGCTGAAAGTTCAGAGGATTGAATGCCCAGTCAGATAAACAGAAAATAATCACCTCTTAGAGGTTTTGCTGCAATGTAACTTCCAAACTACCATCACTTATTTCCGTAGCAAAAGAGAAATTTACTTGAACACAAGGCTCAGGGAATTCCCAGAGGCTCGGATGCCTGTGAAATTGGATAGTTTTCCACGAACCCTACTGATCAGACAATATAAAACCACATGATGTCGACTGTTGTCTCCAAAGGTTATTACTGAAATAGTGTGGAAGTAGATGGGTTTCAAATCTGTGTTCCATTGGAATTTAGCCAGGTCTAGAGAACAATTCAGCCACATTTAGTAATTTACTAGTATTGTTGTTACAAAAGGAAATAGAAACTGTTGACGAAAAGGAAAATACGCAATAGAGCAACTGGGAGGGGAGGCTAGATGAGATGTTGTATCAAGTGATCAGACGCAAGCCTGTGATGGCAAAGGTCCCATTCATGTGACTAGCAAGACTGGAACTTCTGAAGGCAATTGTGTCTCAAAAAGAGAAAGGAACTAAGCTCCACTGCTGATTGCTGTGTAAATGTACAGAGGCTTGTTTTTTCTTCTCAAAATATACTAAATTCATGTATTTTAATTTATCAAGTTTTATTTTAACTTTAATATTACAGAATTTGCAATTAAATTCAACTTGTCCCTGTACAGCATGTTCCAATCAGTATC